ATATCGGAGAGAGAGATCGGTCGGCCGGCGTCACCACGCCAGCGCTGGTCGACCACTGACAGGCGGTTTTTGCCGTGCCGGGGAGTAGAGCGTGGCCGCTCACTCGGTAGTAGTGTCAGCGTGAAACCTGCCCCAGCGTTATAGTACTTTGTCGTATTATCAACGCCTAACGGGTCCTAACCAGGACATGCCATTTGTTGGTATGTGTGTGGGTATCGGTGGTGGGAACTGGCGAGAAGTAAGCAATAAGCATACATGACACACACGGAGTTATGGCAGTTCCGTCATCGGTAAAAGTGCTAAATGGGCGTTTATTTCCTTCCTCTGCAGTGTTTGACTCGCCGCAGCGGTAGGTCAGTTCGGTTCGGTCGGTTCGGTTCGTTCCGTTCGGCCTATCAGTTCAGTTCGGTTCAGTAAGCTCCGTTCGGTTCAGTCAGCCTGGTTTTATCAGCTCGGCTCGGTCAGCTCGGTGTGTTTAGCTCGGCCAGCTCAGCTCGGTTCGATCAGTTCGGTTTTGCCACCTCGTTTCGGTTCGGTCTGCTCGGTTTGGTCAGCCCAGCTCGGCTTGGTCAGCTCAGCTTGGTTCAGTCAATGATCAGCTCAGCTCCGTGCGGTCACTTTGGCTCGGTCAGTCCTGTTCGGTCTCTTTAGTTCGGTCGGCTCTGCTCGGTCAGTTCGGCTCGGTTAGCTCGGATCCTTTCCCTCAGCACCGTTCAGTCCGCTCAGCTCGGCTTGGTTCGGTCAGCTCAGTTTGGTCAGCTAGGCGCGGGCAGCTCGGTCCGACTCCGTTCAGTCAGCTCAGCTAGCTTGGTTTGGTCAGCTCAGCTCGGTCAGCTCGGTCAGCTCGGTCAGCTCGGTCCGACTCTGTTCGGTCCGACTCCGTTCAGTCAGCTCAGCTCGGTTCCCAGACGGGTGCAGACTGACCACGCCGGGCACGCCGAGAATGCGTCGTGCTGTCGGCGCACGGCCTTTGTCCGGCTGCCGGTGCCGCGCCTGTGCACAGGTTTAATATGCAGCGTGCACAGTGCACAGTGCGCGCCGTCACCATACCGCTCCCATCCGAGGTGTGCGCGGAACGACGATTAGTGCACCGTCCTTCAGTCAGTCCAATGTGTTAGATCGCTGCCATGGATCCCTGCCAAAGTGAACTGACAATTGCGTGGTGTGCCGCAGGCTAGATGATATTTTCTTTGACTTCCTCGATGGACTAACCAAATGCTCACCGCGAAACGCATCAGTGGTTTATCGATTATGTATGTATTTTTTTTTTTTCTATGCGTGACGGCAATTGTATGCATAGCGATAATAAATTACAGAAGATTCGTGGCTCAATGTGTTTAGAAACCAAGCCCATGCTATGACAAGGAATGGCAGCCATAATTGATATTTGATTTTGGCTTTGCTGCAGTGTCTGCAGAACTATAATGGGAGGCAAATGAGGAAACAGGAGGATAAAAGTGATAAGGCTTCAATATTTCAACAAGCACAATGGGAACACTTTGTAGGTAGCAATCACAGCCAGGATATTTTACACGCGATGTGGTATTGGAATGCTAATGCCCTTCAATTGGGCACATTCTCCTCAAGTGAGTAATTTGCCGCTTAGATTCCTGATTGCATTGCCAATCGTATCCCTAATTTATACCCAACTAATATCTATTTCGAGAACACAGACCTTCCTCGCGGGACTATATATTCCCGACCGGGGCTGGGAAAATGCGTTTTATTCACCGAGGTTTTTGTGCGGAGGACCGAGTGCCGGTAGGCACGAGGTCCGTAGCAAAAAACCGAGGTGAATAAAACTGCATTTTCACAGCCCAAGGTTGGGAAGAGATTTACCACATGCCGTACCGGCGCACCAGTTAATATCATATTCATTTGACATTTTACACTTTAATATTAATATTTTGTTAATATTATATTAATACTATGTTCATATTTATAGTCACCGTGATTATTTGTTTGTGTTTTTCATTATTAGGCTGCGCTGCGTTGAGTATGAAAGATGAAATTCCTACTTCCCCCTTATTTAGGGTTTGAAAAAGCTGAGGATGAAGATGGTGAAACGCCAGAAGTTAGAATAAAGATATGGAGTCCAGCAGGAGTGAGGAAACCGTGAGGAAAACTAAAAATTGGGTGAAACGCTGAATCAAACGCGTCTTGGATCCCAGCTGGAACAATATCAAATGTTTCATTGTGGCACGTTAAGATGCTTCACGCATTTAAATTGTTCGTTTTTTTTTGCGTGCATTATGTAGAAATAATGATTATTCCGACCATGTTGTACAGCAATAAATACATTGGTATTGGAACGATAACCTTGTTTAGTTGAATTAGGGTAGACCGGGGCAAGTCGCCCCGCCGAGGTAAAACGCCTCACCGATGTTTCTCGGAACTGGCAGAGTTCTGGGGAAACATCCTCTCTTCTATAAAACGTGCACTATATGATCATTATATGAGCAGACTGGGAAGAAATTGTGTTGACTCTTTCGGGAGATATAGCCAAAAATGTGTTTTTTGAGTGATTTTTATGTTTTGTTGTCAGATTATGCATCATGGCGTTCTTTTATGGTCCATATCAGGTTAACGACTTTTATGTATTTTGAACAACTATTGTCTAACGCTTATCATGCCGGGTTGGTTCGTGTTAAATTATGTCTTGCTGGAGTGCAAAGCGTTGTTCTCTGACCGAACTACGTGATGGGGTAAAACGCCCCAGTAGGTCGCGGGGCAAAAAGCCCCATGGGGCGTTTTACCCCATGTGTTATTCGGGCTACCCACTTTCTAATGTTCGGTAGCTGGCGAACAGTAAGTTTCTATGCCTTTATGTGTATTTTTCTCAGCAACTGGATGGCAAAGGAAGTATTCTGTAAACATTTGCATTGCAATAATTTATTATTTGGTCCTTTGAGGCAGGTGAAAAACCTGCTCATACAATAGTGTCATAGCTGAACACCTGATAGGATGGAAGGTGCTAACTTCAGTGCCGTGCCTCCAGAGGTCTAACGGACCTCTCATATAAGATTTAGCCAACTACCATGTTAAATCTTTAATCTAGAGTATGGGGCTTCTTGCCCCAGGCCGTGGGGCGTTTTGCCCTGGGGCTGGGGCAAAATGCCCCATTTGCAGTTGCTTCACAAATCGCTTCCTAGCTGGGAGTCCGATCATAGGTGAAATAATTTGAGGGGTGGAATTTAAAGTAAAATGTCCCAAGAACGCATTGAGCACAAATTTAGCCTTCCAGGTCATGTGGGACAAAAGTTACGTAGCAAAATAAATTATCTGGGGCGTCTTGCCCCAGGCTACCCTACGTTGACAGCAAAAGTATGCAAACACGCAGTCACTTACTTTTGATGTTGCTGTTAGTGAACACACAATCCGTAAAAATCTTCTTTGAAATTGGTTCTTCCGCTCAGAATATTCAGTAAAATTTTGTCTGGGAAAATCAAAAAGCCCTAGGGCCGAATCGTTTCCCAAATACCTTCAACATTAGCCGAGGCGGGCCGAAGCCATTTCCCAAATGCACGTGCTAATGTTAAAGGGATATCTCGGCATGTGGTAATACACAGGCTGGCCTCTTCGGTTGCCACGGATCGCTCTGGTGGGTTAGCTCCGAAAATGGACTGAACTCAGCATAGGGCAGCTATCATTAGCCTCGCGGCACAGTCTCAACCGTCTGAAAACACGAGGACGACAAATAGGTCCTGGGCGAGCGTGCCGGTCCTCGCGAGAGCTGAGCATTTCCTCCAGTCCCGGCGAGACAGTCCGCCAACTCGGCCAGTTTTGAGATTCCGCCCTTTGTCTCGACAATATAAATAACGAGACGACAATTTACAAAGCTGTTATGCTCCGTTGTGCCATTTCAGCGTCATATTTATGGCAGCACAGCGCTCATCTGAATACGTAATTTGCTGCCTTAAAATTGGGATGTAAAATGTGTAATTGTCTCGGAGCTACGACCATTGCGAGTGACAAAATGAAGTAGCTCAGTCAAAAACAACACTTTATTGCTACTATGAGAGAAAGAAGACGGTAGTGGCAGGAAATAATAGAGACAGGAAGTGATAATTGGGCCATAAATCATACTTGAATTGTTCATTCGAGCATGCAAAGGATGTGTGTGAATAACAGAGGAGACAGTGGCGACTACAGGCGCTGTTTACATTCACCTTAGATGCAGAACAGCAGGCTGATGCGTGGAACTGGAGCCTCTGTTAGTACTCAACATTGGGAGTCACACACTGAAAACAATTCAACCCGCGTACAGCGAGTAAAACCCGCTGCTGGCGGGTACACCTACCCACCACCTAATTTGACACTCTACCAGCGGGTGCGTTTACCCGCATATCGCAGGCTGTCAACCCGAGTATATTGTGTACCTAACCCGCATAGGATGGGGACTCAACCCACACACAGAAGGCAACCTACCCGTTCGCAGCGGGTACACAATCCGCACATGGCGTATTACCTGCGCTGCGTGGGTTGGGAACTCGCTTTCTGCGAGTACAAATATCCGCTGGTAGGGTGTCCAAATCAGCTGGAGGGTAAAGTACCCTCCAGTGGCGGCGTTCAAGGAGGAAAACGCCGCCATCGCCGGGATCCGAACCCGATATCTTTGATATTACAAACCGATGCGCTACCAACTGCGCCACAGGCGACCTGACGCAAAGCGACTGAAATGTCGGTGTATATCAGATTAAAATGAAGAACTGACGGCGGACTCAATACAGAAACACTGATAGCAAATTAACACCCGATCATGTCCACCTACACGCAGTCAGCACCCACTTCAGAGGTTAATAAAAGTGTTACACTCGATTGCTAGGTCTTTGTACACTTCGAACACTGCCATTCAAGGTCATCGCTGAAGTGCAGCAAGTTAACACTCAGTGGCAACACTCAGCTACGGAAGTTACACCATGTGCACACCCTACGTAAGTTCCGTTCACACTCGAAACACTTGCAGAGCTCATCTCCTAAAGTGTGATCATAATGCGAGTGTTTTTTTTCCGGCCCGAGTGTTACCAACTATTTTCCAGGGGTCATTTATGACGCTCGTCGACGCCATTTTATATATTGGCGGAGTGGCCGCGCGGCGCGTCGTTGTTTCGTTGGAAAATGTGGATTGATTTAATTTAATTGTATTGCACTGATTTTTGCATTTCGAGTTGATTTGCGGAGAAGGTGAGGTTGGTTTTAGTGTTGGCACAATGTTGATGTGGTGATTGACTACTCCACCGGCCACCATTCTCTCAGTTGCTCTCGGCCGGCGAATCCAGCGTAAGGTAAGCGATTTTGCAAATTCGCAAATAAATGGAAAATCAAGTGCAAGTGTCCTGAAAAGTAATCGACGACGTAAAAGTGAGTGTTGTGAATGCTGTGGGATAGTTTTTTCCAAGATTGGTTGGTGGAATTACTTATAAATTGATTGGTAAGACTGCGCTGTTCCGCCGGCAGCCATGGCGAGCGACGCGCTGGGGGGATGAGAGAGGGATTTCAATATTTTTGTGCGATTAGGAGCTGAAGGGTGGTTTATAATTATCGTTTTATTATTTAATCAAGTTTTAAGTGACCCATTGGGCGTATGCTACACCGGAAAACAATTTATTTGCTCATATAGCTGGCGGCATTGTGTGGTGGTAGCGAAGCGAAAAAGCATATTGCAAAAAGGCGACGTCCAGTGACCGTCCGGTGACGTCACGTAACGTTGTGCAGCCGCCGGCAGCCAATCAGGTGCTGGATTTTCTTCTTCCAGTGACGTCATCTATTCTATAGAATGTATATACAATTTGATAGGCAATGATTAGCTGGTTGTTTTTACAATACAATGAAAGCAATTTGGCCTCATTTTTTCAAGTTCATTTAATAACATTGTCTTCGAATGGGACAAACGATATCCAGATTTATTGCAGATCAATGTTGAATGCACCTTTTCTGAAATACATCAAGCTTTCTGAATTGATTTCAAATTGAAATGGCTGGCAGAACACTGGTGAGCTCGGGTTTTTCACAAAGCGTCAGATTTGATGTGGTTATAGGGCAGTGTGAATATTTGTGTGTTCAAAAGTTGTAATGGCCCATCGTGACCTAATTGACCTGCCCCAACTTATGTGACCAGTTTGACCTGCATTTACCTATCGTGACCTTAGGTGACCTGTGACCTGGCCTGACCCATCGTGACCCGTGACCTGGGGTGACCTATTGTGACCTAAGCGACCCCTGTGACCTTGCATGATCCGAGTTGACCGGAGACCTGACCTGACCCATCGTGACCTGGCATGACCTATGGTGACCTCACCTGACCTATCGTGACCTGAGGTGACCTATCGTGACATGACCTGACCTATCGTGACCTGGGGTGACCTTTCGTGACCTATCGTGACCTATCGTGACCTGGGGTGACCTATCGTTACCTAAGCTACTCCTGTGACCTGGCATGACCTATCGTGACCTGACCTGACCTGACCCAAAGTGACCTTATTTGACCCATGTGAACTCAAATGAACTCATTTTGACCACTAAAACACCACTTAGCGTATATCTAGACTTCTATAAGTCACTCTAACGTGAAACCTTCACTATTCGAACTGGCCAATTATGCGCAAACCATATCATACCTATGCGTAGCGATAGCAAGCAAAGTCCGACGTTTTCCTCTAAGCGTCACGTGACCTTTGACGCTTCTTAGAGGGCCACTGGTGCAAAATTTCGCTTGAATGGTCAATGATCAGCTTATTGGACTTGACTATGAGCGTATCTATTGGAAATAATGTAATTCAAATGCATCCGAAATTTCTCCCATTGACTTATAATGAGAGTATCAGGATCCTAAGTCAACAACTGGTGGGGTTTCAAAGTTTAAAATTTGCCTTTTGTCATAGTCACTTGACCTCCCGGCTCTAGAAAGTGGTTTGTGGCCCGCCAGCCTATAATGGCCCGCCGACTGCTTATTACGTAAAGCTGAGGTTGTCATATTCCATTATCTATCTGTTCCGACAAATAGCAAAAGCAAATGACAATATCCCCACGGTCGGCGAAACGTGACGTGTTTTCGGGACGCTGAGCCTCTTGGTGGCCTGCGAGACTCGAAGTGGCCCGCCAGTCTCGCTTGCGACTTGTGCGGTTTCTACAGCCGGGCTTGACCTGACCTGGTGACCTGACTTCTGGTGATATCGTGTTTACTCGTATTTCCGCACAAAATGTGCAAAATTGATGTCGGAACAGGTATGTCAAATTTTGGGGCGCGCGGTGGCACATAGGTACATACCCCCTCCCCCGGCAGTGCGAGGGTTAACTTCTAAATAAATTGATCTAGGGTCACCAAATAGGAACGCCAAAGCGTACTTCCATACGCCATTTGCGGCTACGTAATTTTCGTCTGTTTTGTGGTACAATTATGTGTGTTGCTTGGCAGCTGAAGGAGGCAATGGACAAGACCTTCGCCGACCGCCGTCAGCTGGTAATCAAAAGAAAAATCGGACTGGCGGCTCTCAAACGCGTCTATCCCGCCCTCTTCAATGAAGTGGAGGTTAGTTCACGAAACGAATCTACAGAATCTGGAGACCGTTCTTCTCGGAAACAAACGTTTTTCTTTTTAAGCGACTAATTGTTATACTTTGATTTTTTTCAAGCCTGACTATTATATCCTGCTCTTGAGGTTCCAGCAAAGCTTTATTCACCATTGCACTTGTAGTCGCCGTGCCCTAAACCCTAATCATTATCATTTATTTACCATTGCAAAAAATCGTAATTTACTCGGGGCTAAATAATCAGACTAAGTATAGGGCCATCGTTCATATCAATACATTGTTAGATTAAAATGTCATAGTTTCTTGGATTTGAATTGAGTTTTGGTTAAGTTCTTGGTCATTTACTAGTGAATCACGCATTTAAAACGGAGCACTCAGTAGTTTTAGCTTATACCAAAACTCTGTTCCAGATCTGGGAAGAACACGCAAGGGTGCGTGGGGTAAACAGGACCTGGGAAGAGGAGTTGGAGGAAGCGAGGATGGCGCTCAAATCCATGTTGAACGGAGTCGCCTTCTGTGACACTCTGGGTAAGTGAGGAACTTTGACTGAACCCATGTTGACTAAAGAAAGTGGCGTTAGCTTGGCGTACTCTGGCTTGCAGTTGAGGGGGATGATCAATTGCACTTTCTCGATTTAAGTGCCTTTCTAATTGTCATCCGAAACACTCATCAAGCAAAAAAATGTCATAGGTCCCTGTCGTTGAAATGCATCACTCATGTTATTTGGTATAGGTCCATCGGGGTCATCTGAAGTCACCAACGATTTCCTGCAATAGCTTTGGATCGAAAAAAATACTAACTTTATTCCAACATCATTGTGTTTTTCTTGTCAACACAGAACGAATGATGAAATTCCACGAAGGTAATTTGATGCCAAAGTTTCAGATGCACCAAAATCTGAATCAAATGCATCTAATAGAAATTCCGAATAGAACGCGGATAGAGAGTGACGTAAGTGATTAAAGAGGTCACATGCAACTGTGGCACAAACTTCTGATCTGCTGACTTCTGACTTCTGATGACCTCTTTGATGTGACCGAAAAATGACCGATGTACACAGTACACCCAAACATATTTTTTACGATATTTCGAAACCTGCTTACCGCTTGTCTCTACGGCACTCAGGAGGGGGTTTCAGCTGCAGGGGAGTCGTAAACCACCTCGTCCCGCTCTTTTCCTCTCTCTCTCTCTCTCTCTCTCTCTCTCTCTCTCTCTCTCTCTCTCTCTCTCTCTCTCTCTCTCTCTCTCTCTCTTCTCTCTCTCTTTCTCTCCCTCCCCCCTCTCTCCCTCTCCCCCTCTCTCTCCCTCTCTCTCTCTACCTCCCTCCCCCTCTCTCTCTCCCGCTCTCTTTCTCTTCCGCTCTCTCTTTCTCTCTCTCTCTCTCTCTCTCTCTCTCTCTCTCCCGCCCCCTCTCCCTCTCCCTCTCTTCCGCTCTCTCTCTCTCGCTCTCTCTCTCTCTCTCTCTCTCTCTCTCTCTCTCTCTCTCTCTTCCGCTCTCTTCCGCTCTCTCTCTCTCTTCCTCTCTCTCGCTCTTCTCCGCTCTCTCGCTCTCTTCCGCTCTTCCGCTCTCTCGCTCTCTCTCGCTCTCTCTCGCTCTCTCTCGCTCTCTTTCGCTCTCGCTCGCTCTCTCCCGCTCTCTCTCTCTCTCTCTCTCTCTCTCTCTCTCTCTCTCCCGCCCCCCTCTCTCTCTCTCTCTCGCTCTCTACCGCTCTCTCTCTCGCTCTCTCTCTCTCTCTTCCGCTCTCTTCCGCTCTCTCTCGCTCTCTCTCTCTCTTCCTCTCTCTCGCTCTTCTCCGCTCTCTCGCTCTCTTCCGCTCTCTCTTTCCCTCTCTCTTTCTCTTCTGCTCTCTCTCTTCCGCTCTCTCTCTCTCCCGCTCTCTCTCTCTCTCTATCTCTCTTCCGCTCTTTCTCTCTCTCTCTCTATCTCTCTCTCCCGCTCTCTCTCTCTCCCTCTCTTCCGCTCTCTCTGTCCCACTCTCTATCCCGCTGTCTCCCTGTGTGTTTTGTTTTGCTTAGACTTTGGTCATCTATTGCAGATGAAAAGCTGGCACATGTGCTGATGGAGATGAGGGAGGAACACGTCGTGTTCGGGCCGCCAGGAGGTCAGGCTGGCCCACCGACCATCCACGAAGAGGAACTATGGGTGGAGGGCGTAAAGGTGGCCCAGTTTGATAGGTTCATGTCAAAGGCGGACCAATATCTGACCTGGGGGGCGGCATTCACTGTGTTCGCACAGCGCCTCAGTTTCCGCGCGACGCAAGCAGCTGCCTACTGGGCGGGGCGGGCGTACGCGGCGCCGGCCGTTCGGCTTAGCGCCCCTGCGAATGGGATCTGAAGTGTCGGCTGAGCCCGCGCCGCCAGCCTGAGACGGGCGGCGACGTCTCCGGCTGGCGGCTCCGCGGCTCCGGTCTGGCGCCGGCCGAGCTCCGTACCTACTTGTGATGCGTTGAGGCGCTGCCCGCGGTGTCCGCCGGGCGGCCTCTCGTCCCGCGCGGCGACTGCGGCTGCTGCAGTGCCAATATGCATGCTCTGCATTTCTGTTCGCACTATACGAATCAATACAGTTGACAGTAAACGGTAGTGTATTTTACAAAACACTGATTGTGATGATCAGAGGAGAGTATGTGCAATATTCAAAGCAAAAATCACGGAGAATATGTCTGAAAGAGGAAATGCTACATGCATGTAGCATTTCCTCTTGCGAATGAAATTTCTCATGAGAAATTTCATTCGCATCCAGCTCAGCAACACTTGGGTTGGGTGTTTAAATTACACGTCTAGGGGGTGTTTTGCATTAAGTGTGATACACATGCGAGGTGTTTTCCTGGGTGTAACCAGAAGACAAGACACTTGTAATGAAGGTTTTACTCTCGGTGTTAACACCAGGTTAAGGTGTTTTCGACACCCGAATAAGAGGTTATGACAAAGTGTTACACCTATGACGGGTGTTTCTATGGTGAGTGTGATCCTGGTGGAGAGTGTTAAAGACGAGTGTTACATTTCTACAAACACCCAATTTAGGTGTGCACTTGAGACGGGTGTAAGTGAGCGCACCGGATCAACGACACTCGTCTTAGGTGTTAACACTCGAGACGGGTGTTAATTTGCTATCAGTGAAGTAAAAAGGCTTATCTTAGACAATTGACATGAATCCGCCTATAGTGTTTTAAATATTAAGGAATAGTTTGGACAAATATTTCATTTGCATCGGGAAAGATTTATTTATCCAGGCTTATTTTTACCAATAAAATGTGCTAAGAACGGTCTGCAAACTTCACCACAATGCGCCAGATTCGCGGACTGCAGAATATTCTGCTGAGCGTTCCAGCGAAATATTCTGCCGGCCAAGACGTGACGTCATCCAAACAATGATTCAAATGTCCCAAGCCCGTTAAGTAGGTACCCTCCTAACTCACAGAACGCAGCACCACAGCTGTTACAGTTACGATTACAATTGCCTTGCACATCTCTACCCCTGCACAAGGCCTGCACAAGCACGCAGCCGAGCCGAAAAGCGACTATTGTGGCGCGTCACATTTCAACACTCGTTTGAGCGTCGAAGTCAAAAGTATTAATTTCAAAACCAATGCCGTGCATCAGTGGGATATCTGCCATGACACATGCGTGATCAAGGCAACCTGCGTATAGCATGTCACCTACCTTGGCGCAGCGAATTACACGATGCAAAACCTGCGTGATGCGCTTACTCCGTGGGCGCGAGTAACGCCTGCGGCCACAACCCGCTGCGGACGAGTGATTGACCCCGCCAGAGGAGGTTTCATGTATCCGCGCATGACGGGTTGCTGTTTTACCCGAGTATAGCGGGCGTTGACACCCGTGAAGCGGGTGAAAGCTACGATGATAACGGGATGCTCTGCGAAACGCGGGAAGCTAAACGGGTAGTCAGCCTACCCGGCAGCAAAAACTCGCGCAGAGCGGGTAATTTCTTCAAAATACCCGCGATACCCGGGCCAACTCGCAATCCGCGGGTTGAATTGTTTTCAGTGCAGCGCTTTGCTGAACTCACAGCACCATGGCTTTCGTATGTTGGAGGCACACCTGAGTATTCCGCCCCAGGGTCGATGAGCAGCCGGATATTAACAGCCTCATTATTCAAACATTTAGCGTCACCCGGGGACGGCCCTGCACGCCGGCCGGTCCGAGGGATGGTGTTGAAATTCGGCGGACCGGCCCCGCCCCTTCCATACATTAACTGGCCACGTTTGCATCGGAGAAAAACGCCGCAGCTGAGCCGCCGGAACAGCTGTAATTAACAACACGAGTCCCGTTTGTGAGGGACGTAAATCAGGGGCCGCGGTATGCCGCGCGGGGCCAGCCACCGGTCCGCAGCTCAGAGCCGCCCTCCGGCGCTCTGTCGATAGTCAGTAGCTGCTGACGCCGGGACGCCGCGACGATCCGACGCCATATTGTGACATGCTTGTCCTCTGCATGCACAAGAGCTATTTAGGTACCGGCAAAGACATCCGCTCACCGAAACTTCAATAACAATGTAAGAAACGAATGTGACATACAACAAGGTGCTGTCTTTCACTGTTGATTCCAGTCATTGATACTATTTTCAGGATGTTCTCCTTAATGTTCACGCCAAATTTCACCCTGTTTTGTTGTTAAACATGTTTATGTGAGATATGAACAGTGTTTCCATACATGCACTTTGCTAGTTTCCTATTTTTATCAGGTATTTTTACTTAACTGTTTGACCTGGTCAAGCACATAATCGTTCCACCTTTTCTTTTACACATGTAGGTGTACCCTTTGATGTCTTCCTTCGGCGAACGAAAACCGGACCTACACTACGGTTTTCTGTGGGACAGGAGCTACAGCAGGTACAAAAAGCTGTGGGAGTCGGTGTCATTCCCACCACAGCGGGCACTTGGCACCGCTCGCGCTGCAGCGGCAGTGCTCACTGTCCAATCCGGGAGCGTGGGCCGCGCAGAGATTTCGGCTATGATCCCGGCAATGGTGGCCAAAAAGACAGTTTTGGCTCTGCTTTAAATCGGTTGGGGCTGCTTTTTATGTGTCATCAAAAATGTATGGTGTAGCTTGTTTGATGCCATCACTACTCACAAAGTCGAGAAAAAATTCGTTTTGTAAAGCTCTTTAGATAGGTTCTGTCATAAACAGCAAAGAGCAATGCCATCAACAGAGTGCTAGGATATCTGTTTCTCGATGCTTAACACATACGTATACATAAAGTGAATTCATCTGAATACTGAGGTGTGTAATAACTAATATGGCCGACTTTTCAATTGAAGCCCATCCTCCAATATTCAATATTCATCTGTCTCGATCGGTATGCTCTAGCAGACTTGCTCAAGCACATCATCAAAAGTTACGAGGTTTGGCCGGGTGCACTGATCGCCAAGTGCCCGTCTCTTCAGCCCCGTTCGATGCTAATAGACAGGCCTCCTTTGATTATGCATTCCATCGTCGTTCGCTGTGTTCGTTAACACGAGTTGGCTGTCAGGATACCACGTGACTGTGCACATCTGGCCAACAGCAGAAAGCCAGCGAACGATAGGGCTGCAGGGGTGCCTGACAAGGGATGATAGGACCAGAGGTAGGTCCACAAAGGGATGATCGGGTGCAAGTATTCCAGCCATAGGACGATAGAACCGGAGGTATGCCCACCACGGGACGTTAGGGTTACCAGTATGCCTGTCACGTGACGATACGCTATGACCTACATGTTGTGCCCTCCCGAGCTCTGACTGGGCCGGAAAAAGATCCAACCATATCAGGGTGCAGGGTGCATGGCGCAACACTGCGACCCCCGTAGCCGGGCGGCAGACGGTTGATCGGCACACGGCAGTAGGACACTAATTGGCCGTGTGTGACGTGGGTCCAGTCGGCACACTCACTGCTCCGGCCGCAATTAAACCCGTTATTACGGCCACTAATGACGGCCCCTATTTACACTGAGGTCCGGCGCCGGCCGCGGGGGCCGGGAGACGCCCCCAGCCCCGCGCCGACTGACACGCATAAAAATTACCTCCTGTTCCGACGATCATATCAAACATAGAGCCCGGCACCATTACCGCGGCGCGGAGGAAGCTGCCAACTCTGTGTCGGCCGGCTAATTGTTTCCAGCGGCTGCCGGCGGGGGGTATTACACCCAATTAGGGCCTTTCAAGATGACCGAATCACTCGCCGAGTCGCCCGGTAAGAGTCAAAGTCTGAACGCGCGGCCGCAAACTGCCGACACGTTGGTCGTTGCCGGCGGGCCGGGCGCGGGGCCGGGCCGGCCGCACCCCGCAGCACTGTCCGGCGCGGGGCCGGGCCGGCCGGCTCCCAGGCGCGCCGCGGACGCCGCAGGTGCGCCGCTGCCGTCGACAGGCGCGCCGGCCGCGGCTCGCAGCTCTCAGCGGGCGGTCGCCGGCTGCGGTCTCGGCTGACGGCTCTATTACCCGCATGCCGCTCTCAGCGGGACGCGCTGTTAATCTAACGACCATTAGTTTTTGCGGTCGTCCCGGGATTGGATCTACACAAATGTTTGCTTAGCTGGATGATAATTTATTTTGTATGTATTTACGAGACGGTCGGCCGGCCGGCCGGCCGGACGGCTGGCCGGACGGTCCTACGAACCGGTCGGTCGCCGCGTCCCGGCCATCAGTTCCCTCATCTCACCGTCACCGATCATGGCAGCGTACAGACGGCGAACAAAAGCTCGCTCCCAGCGGCGATGCATCACCTCTGCGGCTGGCGGTGCGTCGGTTTTGTCTCGGCGCGGCGGAGGCGTTTTTCGGCGTCCGTCCGTGTCAGGACGAGGACAGGTGACAGAGATGGACACATCCCGCGACCGACCGGACCGATCCGGGCGATCACATCGGCATCGCACGCCGGCATTCCACTGATCCGATAAACGCTGTAACTAGTGACATTTAGGCAGGTCAGATCGGTCAACGCTGTAACTAGTGACGTGTAGGCAGGTATAGGATCGGTCAGCGCTGTAACTAGTGACATTTAGGCAGGTCAGATCGGTCAGCGCTGTAACTAGTGACATTCAGGCAGGTCAGATCGGCCAGCGCTGTAACATATATGACATTTAGGTAGGTCAGATCGGTTTCAGGCTGATTAGCTGTTCTGACTGGTTCAGGTTGACATAGGCGCTACAAAAATGCACAGCTGGACATGAATATTGAAGAGCTCGACGGCATGCAATTATGACATGCTTGTTAAGCAGTGTTGACATTTCACAGCGTCTCATTGACCTTTCTAAGCCATCAACAGCCGATATAGGTAATTCAAAACCACCAATGCATTAATAATATCAGGCACTTTCCTTCATAATTCTTTTTCTGTGAGCCAGTACGTTTCAAAATTCCAACACAACCTTTTAACTGCATTTTCATACAACCAAGTTGTCCACCAAGATGCTGGACCTCCGTTATCTCTCGTATTTCACTGTCAGGTGTGTTCTCGTCTCAGGCTATGGTTACCTACATCTCACGTCCCACTATGTCCTCCGCTGTTCTGCATCTCTCCTCCCCGCTGTGGCATCCTTCTGTTGTTCTTGCAGCCTTCAGCAGCCTGCCTACTCCTTGTTGCATCCTTACACCGCGGGCAGTGCTAATAGCCGCCCATCTGGAGGCCAGCGCAGTCCCTCACGCCACAATCTCCTCGGGTTGTGTTATCGCGGAGCGGCCAGCACACGACCTTTCTCCTTCCTCCGTGAGCTACTCCTCGGATGGATGTCTGCCGGCCGGCCGGTCTGCCGAACTTAGCAGCCGCGTCGGTCCGCGGCCCGACCGCTCCGCCTGACAAGCAATTAATTGGCGCCGCTTTATCGCCGTATTAGCATGGACGAGACAGATGCGCGCGCTGAGCAGCCTCACCGACGTATGCAAACTCAGGTGGCCGGCACAGGAGAGAAGACAGAGGGAGGGAGGGGAAGAGGGAGAGGAAAACAACAGTGAGGGCATCGGGAGCGGTAGTGGGGCAAATTGGCTAATTAGGAGGCTGCATAGATGAAATGCGCACGTATGTAAGCATTTTCGCACATTGTCTGAAGTCTGATCTGTCTGGACTTAAATTTTCATCGAATATGGATGTGAAACTCTACTCATGTTTGCACAGATTTGGGATCTGCCGCAATGTTTTGGCGCACCCGGCGCGACCTCGGCGACGTCAGCGACCACAGCAGCTCGGCGCGCGCCGCCGCAGCCCTCCGGTCCGGGGCGGCGCCCGACCGCCCGGGGCCGACACCCCTTTGACGGGCCGGGGCAGGAAGACCGACATTTGGCCGTCAGCGCGACGGCCGCTCTAATTGAGATGATTGTCTGCGGCCGGACATCAGTCTCCGCCCACGGCTGATGTCAGAGACCCGCAGCACACTCCGCGGGCCGGGCGGACAGCTCTCGGCGCGGAGGTGCCGTGTCGAACTGGGCGGCCCGTGCGCCGGCGCTGCACAGTCCACGGAGCGCTAATGATGACGGATGGCCGCCGAAGTGCCGAGCTGTGCCAACCCGTAATGAGCTGACGCGTCCGCCGCCGGCCAACGTTGCACAAAGAGCGCTGGGCGCGTCAACTCGGCAACAAACCTCGACGGGTGCCGCCAGGACGCCGAGGCAACTTCGGCTAGCTGCTTAATTGCGTTTGGCTCTGCCTGGGGTTCGGTCTCTTCCATGATGGTTTTGATGCATTTTATCTGACATTTCATCCGATCTGACCATCCAACAGATCAAAGGCCCTGATAGTTGTTGACAAGTTTTAACAACTCTGGCTTTACGAGGTTTTCGCATTTTGGCAGCATGGCTGTGGCGAAAGCTGAAGATTGTCTGTCAGCTTGGCTGGAAGTCTCAGCTAGTCAGCTAGTCTGTCACCTAGGCCAGGCCGTCTCGCTCTTATCTCCGTCCTTATAGGCAAAGTTCGGGGAGTTGGCGTCTCTTCAGTGGGTGTCACTCACACAGTGTCTCTCTGCAGTGGGTGTCACTCACCCAGCGTCTCTCTGCAGTGGATGTTGCTCTCCCAGAGGCCGTCCAGCGGGTGTCGCTCTCGGTCGCTCCTCGCCCAGCATCTCTCTGCAGTGGGTGTCGCTCTCCCAGAGTCTGTCCACCACGGGTGTCGTTCTCGGTCGCTGCTCGCCCGGCGTCTGGGCGGAGGCGCGCCGCGGTGGCATCCGCGGTGTCCAACGCCGCCTCATCTGGCCAGACCGTGCCATCAATCTGCCGCCCGCGACGGTTGGGTTACCGCAGCTCCATAAACGTCGCAGAGACCCGATCTCGGCCCTGATTACAGGTGGTGGACCCGTGGGCCAGCGGGGGCCGGCGGGGACCTGTGGGGCCAGTGGCGACCGGCGGGGACCTGTGGGCCAGCGGGGGCCGCTGCCCGGCGAAGGGCGAGGAGCCATTGAGGAATGGGGATCACCGGTGCATCTGTAAGACCCATTGGGACCATCATGGACTGGCAGCGGGCAGTCGGAGCCAGCGATAAAGGTCAACCATTGTTCAGGCTTAGTGAACATCATCAAGGATTGACTTACAAAATGGAAAGCATGTAAATGTTCAAATATTGGGATCAAAGGAATATCAGGCTATTTGGCGATTCCTTTTCGGGTTATTTGTTGCATCAAACATGATCTCATGATAAATTATGGCGTAATTGTGATCGCTTGGTAAATAGGGTAGAAAATAGCGACCTCATCCAGAATCACTGCGCTCATAAGTTGCAGGATTGAGATGTCCGTGATGCCTTGCAATGCCGAGACTTCGCTTATCCAACCGGCGCGTAGGCTCGACGGTTGCCGCGCAGCCGATGCGGCCGGCCTTTCCGATTCTGCCCCATCGCCTCCGTTCAGTGGTATCCATGCACTAGTTCCCTCCACTCCCGACCTCTCTCCTCTGACGTTCGCCCCCTCTCTCCTCCCCGGTCACCCTCGCACGTTTCCCTGGGGCCGATATTTCCTCTCGATTCACCAGCCGATTCGATTAGCGGTCGTTAGGCTCAGCGGCCCGCATGTTGCATGTCTAATAGGAGAGAGCGCCGACAGCCGGTAACAAGAGCCGCCCGGCAGCGGGCCAGCCCAGAAGGGAGCGCTGAGCCCTCTCCGGCCGGCCAGCCCACAGACCTTGGAGATGATGGAGTGGGATAAGAGGGAGGAACAGATGAGCGATCCTCCACCGGCTGCCACCGAGCTATCACCGCGCCCCGCCCCGAATCTGCATAGATTACCTCCATAACGTCTTCATTAGAGAGCTGACCGGCCGGTGGAGCGGTACGGCGTGCCGGACGGGCGGTGTGGACTGCGGCCGGGCGCACCAGAGGGGCTGGGACGACCGGCGCTGCCGCCCAGCCGCCATTATACACCGGTCCCCCGGCACTATCATTAGCAGTGTGCTGCTCTGCCGACATGGTGCAGATTACCAGTGCAAACTCACTTGTTACAGTCATGCTAAAAAGCACATTAAATGTAAATACAATGTAAATGTTCATAAATTGGCAATTACTTAACTGATTTAGGGTCGTTATATATTACACTGCGCAGTACCCGGTAATTATTGACGGCTAACAGGCCCAGTCATTGCCAGCCGGACGCGCTTAGAGGCGACCGACACGCCTCGCGGCGCGGCCAGCGCGAACCCGACAGAACCAGTATGGCCGGCAGGTGGGATTATAACCAGAAGGCGTGGTTCTGAGCGTGGTTTCGCCGTGGTTCTGCCCGGGTCTTATCGTGAGTATGCGATGACGACGTAGTTTCTGCTGTAGCTTGATCATCTACCATGGCTGTGTAATTCAGCTCTCAGCAGCCAAGACGGGTCTTTGAGGCCAAGTGTGGGCGGGTCTGCTGTAGCGAAATGTCAAGAGAGGCATTCGACGGATGAACTGTCAAACACAACGGCAGCATCACTAGGCTCAACCTATCGCAGTACTGCCGAGCTGACAGACGTTTTTCCATCGGCCGCTCAGAGCCGTGTCTGTCAGTCGGACACTGACACCGAGGGACGAGCCTGACCTAGCCCGCGGCGGTCCGAGAACGACACAGAAGCCCACGCCGGGCAGCCAGAAGAACACGTGTTGGCGACGATCACTCAGGATTAGGGCCGCGCAGAGGTGTTTGAGCCCTGAGTGATGCTGACTTCAGCCGATAGAGATGCCATCATGACCCCATTCAGACTAAGCCGATCAGCACGCGCTGTTCGGCGGCCGCGTGGACACGTGATCGGCATCCGCCTTGTCGATCCGTGCCCCTCCCCTCTCACCCCTTCCCCTCGCCTGCCTGCAACAGCTGGCTGGGGTCTCCTCACGCCTCTGCTGACCTTAGCGACCGCCTCCATCTGTATATACAGCAGCTTGCGCGGAACTTGCTGCGGACTCGTGCGGAACATCGTGATATTTGTGTTTTATGCGAGGACTCGTAAATTGGGCATAGCATAAGGGTGCGTCCTCTCCATCACGACTCCGCTGTCACGCCCCGAACATTCCTCAGTACTCTCTGCCGAGGCCCTCTTTGGGATACCCTAAAACCTGATAAAGGTTCGGACTTCGAAAGCGTCCTGCTTAAATTTGTCACCCACAGGTTCTGACAAACCTCATTCTCCCTTCGGATTCTGATAAGTTCACGTTTCTCGGCGTGTTCTGACATTGGTCCTCGGAGTGTTTCTGTTCTCTGCAGTGTCTGACGGGCCTTCCTCTTCTGTTCTCAGGTCCACATCTCCCCGAGTTTCTGTTCCAACCGTTTCGGAAACCCAAGCGGATCAGAACAGCGTTCTCACCAACACAGCTGTTGAAGCTGGAGCACGCCTTCGAGAAAAACCACTACGTGGTGGGGCAGGAGCGCAAGCAGCTGGCGCAGACGCTGAGTCTTTCAGAGACACAGGTATGTCCATGGTCGGAACGAAGTGACAATCAATCAGATGGATTGCTGATTTTTCTCGGGCTTACTTAATCAATGGTACGGGTGGATGACATTCTCCAATACGGGAGACTTTTTAAAAACACATTTTTTGTGGTCCAGGTGACGCACTAAAAAAAAACATGTGATTGAAAAGCACACATGTCCTTCGTATCGCTTCGATGTCCTGTTGGCTCCGGCTTTGACGATGTCACAAAGAGCGCATCCAATCCATTCCATTGCCTGCTCTTACCGCGCCTTGTTGGCTGTCGCCTTTCACGAAGTATTCGTACATCTGTCAACTTCTCTCCTCCCGACTCCCTGTCACCAGAAATAGATCATCCATCCTTCCTCTGATACAAAGTCCCTGTTATCAGGAGTGAATATGTTAATCGCCCATCGGCCATTGTTCCCTCGACCCCTTCCCTGTTGCCAAGTGAGTACCTACCTATCCACCTCAGCGTTTGTTTCCGTGACCTGTAAATAGGCAGCTGCAGCTCCGATTGCCCGCTGTTGGCGGAGGCAGCTCGCTGCCACTGCCCGCCGCAAACACGATTTTCCCCGGAAATGCAGCCAGCGCTGACGTCACAACGTTTGCGGCCATTTTTTGCCGCCCGGAAAATGGTCGGTCTGTCTGGTGCGGTGCGGGACCGCAAAGCGTCGTCAGGTGCACGGCGGCACAGACACGCTGGGCAAATAGAGTTGTCATGTAGTCGCATGAAACTGTCGGCTTCTCTTATATCGTGTGGGATTTGAAAATTGCCGTCAGGAAATAATTCACGGAAGAAAATGCTGGATATGTTTTAATCGCGGCATATCACGTAGTGTATTAACATTCAACGCAAATAACTGAATAGATGGTAGCTGATTCGGCTAACAAAGCGGCTAGACAGTCATGAAGTATTTTCGGTCGTGACGGGATGGGTTAAATGAGTCACGCTCAGCTCTGCGGCACGCAAATGTGACGTCATATTTGGTCCAGAGTGATACTATAGCCGTCAGTGACGTCAGATAGCTATGCCAGCCACCACGACTGTCAGCCACTCTAAATAGTAAATCATTACGTCAATACGAGCCGTGCTGTCGCGCCGTGCCGTGCCGTGCCGTGCCGTGCCGTGCCGTGCCGTGCCGTGCTGCCGTCTTTACCGTATCCGCGGAGCCGCCGCTCTGTCCCGTTTTTCGGCGACGCCGGACGGCCGTGTCTGCCGACGCTGTCACGGGGACCGAGGGGCGGACGACCCGTCCGGTCGGCCCAGTCCCCGAGAGGTGTATAGTACGATGATGCATTGACTCCTCAACCAGCTGACGTTTACGACAGCGACAAAGGGCGCGGAACATGGATCGATTGGACATAGAATATATGTAATCAAGGATCTGAATCAGCGCCGGGTTTTTGTCGGCCTGCCGACCATGTCGTTTAACATTCCATGTCTAACATGCCAGTCGCGCTCGACTCTGTCTTTTTGTGACAATCTGTACAATTAAGGAGGTATGCTCGCTGGTTTGTTCCTCGGCGCGGCTCGCCGCGAGCGCCGGTCGTTCTCAGTCCGCCTCACCCTAACCCTCCTCGGTCGGCCGCCGACTGACGTCATCACACAGGTGACGTCATCACCGCCGACTGGACACGAGTGACGTCACTGTGTGAGGACTCAATCCCAGCCGGTGCCAGCTGTGGCGAAACCGGTTTTACAGTGATATCTGAAAAAGGCGGCTAAGGTCGCTCTCCAACCAACCATGGCACGGGCTATTTTGAACGAATGCCGAGCTGGTGCTCTCTCAAAACCTAAATCTAGGTATCACGCACATATTATCATCCGTTCACACGCAGACTTCCTGTCAAAATTAGGGCAGCGCCGTTTGGCAGGGCTCACATGTTAGTGAAACATCTCCGCTCCAGGCTCCTGATCTTTGGAATGTGTGTCTTCATTGCGAGTGCTCATCACGCAGCGCGTCACTTCTCGTAACAGTGCGCCACTCCCCAGAGTGCGGCACTCCTCGCCACCGGGCGTCGCTGCTCGCCACCGGCGCTGCTGCCGGTCGGCAGGCAAGATGGCGTCGCTGGGCTTATTGAAACGTCAGCCGTCAGTCTGGCACGCCGCGCCCCATTGGATGCGCCGCCGCCGCCGCCGCAGCCGCCGCCGCCGTTGCGACACAACCGGAACGAAGTGGCACGGGCGGCGCGGCGGCGGCGGCGGCGGCGTGCGAGCGAGTGTTCACTCTGGGTATTTTGATAGAGATGTAGCGAGGGGCTATGCACCGCACAGCATATAATTGATCTACTCACAAGGACAATATCAGAAGGAAAAAAACTGATGAATCTTGCAAGATATTTAAAGACAAAACTAATTTACCTCATTGCAACAGAATGTGCCAATCAAACAAGACTGATTGAGTAGGCATACACAACAGTTCCAAATGACACAACACAACAGAGCTAAATACGCCAGGTGTATGACAGACAAAGCCACGCTGCGGCCAGCGTTTTTACGGACTGGTATTCGATCGTTAATGGTGGGCTAACAGGAGCGTCACGGACTCCCCCACCGACCGGCTGCCGTCGGCGAGCGACCCTCCCGGACCGGTTCGCTGGGCTCGCCTCTGCGGCGGCACTGATGGATGTAAATTGAACAGATTGGAACACGGTCCGATCCTGTAATACAAAGCGGCTCGAATGTTGGGCAGCATTTTTACGTCGAATATGGGATAAATCCGATGGCTGTCGGAACGTGCATGGCATCTGAGTGGTGCCCGTCGCTGACCGACGCGCCGTCGACCGTTAGACGCGGCGACGGTCGATCTGACCCATAGACATGTCCCGTGAGACGTACACACACCGGTCGAGGATACTAAATACGGACAGCTAAGGTGCAAGATGTCATGCAACGGGTGGCACAGTGCTGACCCATCAGTGCGCTCCGGTATAGGTAGACCATTCAGCAGACTGCTCTCCTCTCCGCCAAGGCAGCTGGCGAAGAAACTAGGCCGTAGCGAGGCAGGGTGTATAGCTGCCGAAGCTGGCCATGGAGAAGCTGCCGAAGTTGGTAGCTGGCCATGGAGAAGGAGTTGGTAGTTGCTGGAGAGCGAGAGGGCTGGTAACTATAGGAGAGAGATCATCAGCTTCAGCAGCTCCCAGAAAGGGATGGGCAGCTGCCGGGTGGGAGGAATCTGCTCGGAAGATGGGTAACTGTCGACGGAGAAAAAGTGGAAAGTCTGACTTGGACACCTGCTATGAACTCAGCTAGCTATCTGGTGGTGATCAACTGCTTGAGAAAAACGAGCATGGTATCAGGGAATAGGCGTTTAGTTGGTCATTAGATATTGGTCAGTTTTTTTTAGGTCTTTGAGCGGGACTTGGCTGGGGCGGTGGGGCGGTGGGGTGGCGGCGCCGGCCTCAGCAGCGCCGCTCCCTCCACAGCCCCGGTCTGATTAACCGCTCTGCTAGAGCACCACTAACTGCCCATTGCAGCTACCATTGTGAGAAACCTAATTGGAGATCAATTAATTGTGGGCGGGCGGCGGCTCGATCGCTCTCGTCCCGCTCCCTGTTTGCTTATTGCAACGGTTGATTTTCTAATCCCGCGCTAATGAAGTGAGTCGTTGAAAGCTAAATAATTTAAGACATGGGAGGCCTGATTGCAAGCGCAAGTGACGCCTTTAATTGCTGGGGTCGAAATGCTAATTAACTGTTGCAATTCACTCGGTGCTTGCAGCGGCGTATTTAGAAAATCGCGAAGGGGGGGGCCAAGGGTTTGGAGGGCGCCACCTCACCCAAGGAGGGCGCCATACGGTCGCGAGATAAAAAATCGCTCAGTGGGGGTTGGGGGGTTGGGAGGCGTTTTTTACCATGCCACCAGTTTTTTTTTTGCGTAACCTCGTATAGGTCGTGCTGCATTGATTTTGCATCGTGTGTATTCTTTATACTCCAGGTCACAAAAGGTCAAGTGTTCTTGAAATGCTGCGCCGAAGGCGCGCGAAATTTTTGAAAACAACCTTTTCCTCCGCTTTTTAGGCACGCCTTTTATACGATCACTGTTCAAAGCTCCTCTCGCTCTTTTACCAAATTTGAAGGTGTAAAAAATACCTAAGGTTTGGTCGGGCCGCTGCCACACAAACTGTACAGAAAGCTTGGCTCATGGGTGTCGATGTATAAAAGTTTATTGGCGGTGGCATATCTACGCACCAGATCACCGTATCGGATTGATACCGGAGCGCGAGATGCGTAAACATCATCCAAATTACCTCAGACCAGCCTTCATAGCCTTCTCACAGATGCATACAGTGTACCCACATAACCAGTTTCAATCACCGAAACTTCAGATGCCTGCTGTTGCGCCCGAACCTGTTGACAATACTTAATCGTAATCCATATAGATGCCATGATGCACGTAAAGTAGGATCAATCCGTTAAGACCAAAGACGTGTTTTATGCATCGTAGAGCGTAGATAGTTTTGGTAGGTATAGATACTTCATTCATTGTGCTGAATGCACGTTCATTTGTGGCAGTTTTCACAGGCAAGACATCAACTATGTGCAATAGAACGACTAAGTTGAAAAACATGCCAAAGGAGTAAATAAATGATAGGAGGGCAGCGATCAACGGATGTTGCCAATAGGTAGAAGGGCTGCGATCCACAGGAGGGCACTAATAGGTAGAAGAGCCCCGATCAACATCCCGAGTTTCGACAGTAGGGCACCGATAGGTAGGAAGTTGGCGAGCAGCAGGAGGGCGCCAATGGATAGAAGGGCAGCGATCAACAGGAGGGCACCAATAGGTAGGAGGGCGCCGATCAACAATCAACAGGAGGGCGCCACCAGGTAAGAGGGTGGCGAGGAACAGGAGAGCACCAATAGGAGGGTGGCGATCAACAAGAGGTCGCCAATAGGTGGGAGGGCGGTCATCAACTGGAAGTCGCCAATGAGCGGAAGGGTGACGATTAAAATGGGGGTGGCAATGGTGAGGAGGGCGCCTTTGCTCAAGAGGATG